CAATAGGAACCCAGGTACCTGGCACATGTGTTGCCTTCTCGTGTGTAATAGCAGAAAGCTGGGTCAGAAGTGCAGAGCAGACAGGATCTGAACCACGAACTTCCATATAGTATGTGGACATTCCAAGTGACGATGTGACTTGCTATGCAACAACGCCCACCCCTTTATTAAGAAATAATTGAAGCCATTATTCACACTAAATTATTTGCTTTTGAAAATAGCTAATTTTCTTCTAAACACACACACACTTTGCTAGCATGGAAATTTCTTTTTAATGAATAGCAGATTATTTTAAAATATTGCTTTAATTTTTCTGTGGCGAATTTCAACATAACACCCACATAACAAAGGCTCGCTAGAGTTTTCAAGGATTGATTCTCTAGAATATAGAGTCCTGGGCTCCTGACTTTGGCCTTGCCCAGCCAAAGGATCTTGAAAACCTTTGGGAAGTTAAACAAAGGATGGGAAATGTCTTCTCTGCTTCCCAAATAATGAAGAAGCAGCTTTCAAAACGCCACCATTCTCTGCTCAAAAACCGTTGCATGCTTTTTTTCTCATCTCCCTGGGGTGTCCTTACACTGGGGGACAAAGCTCAGCTCTCTGTTGCCTTACTGCCTCGTTACCCTTTCTCCTTCTCATCACCTTCAGCCTTCCGAGCTGTCTCCAGGAAGCCCAGCACACGCCCAGACACAGGACTATCACGTGCGTAGCTCCCCCTGCCTGCTTACTTCCCTTAATTCCTCAGTCCCTACTCATGTATTCCCATCCCAGTAAAGATCATATTTAAAGCTGCAACCTTAAATCCATCTTCTTTTAGCATCTTCTTTTCTTTCTCTTTTTTTATCGATTAGGGCACAAAGGGTCAAGGGCTACAGGAAAGTGGGTAAGACCATTATTTCTACTTTTTTTTTTTTTTTTTTGCTGTATCTGGGGAGGGAGGGGGAAGATTAAAGGAGAAACCCCACCCAGTCTCCCACCCAACCCAGGTCCCTGACATGGGGCATGCTCCGAGGGTCCTGCTCAAGTGGTTTTGATAGTTCAACAGTTCTGAATTGCCATCAATCTCACCATTCCCAGCACGATGAAATCTTTCCAGCATCCACTGGCTGACATAGTTCACCTTAGAGTCTCTGTTTGCCCAGATTTTCACTGCCAACACATGGCTGGGGTAGTTGATTGATTTGTTCTGGCCTCCATCCTCTGTTGTGGTACTAGGTGTCCTCCGTAGGTTCCAATGGATTGCCACATCCTCCATGTGTACCTGGATATGCTGTCCACTGCTCCGTCTGAGCCTCTGAGGAGGCTCAGCTTTGACACATGCACTCCATGGTCAGACCTTGGAACCTACACTTCTCTTCATGGTTGGGGTTCTGAGTCTGGCAGTTCAACTGGGGGGTTCCCCAAAGAAACTTCTGAGGTGATCCCAGACCTGATTCTTGTGTGTGGATGCCAGTACAGGGTCCGCCACAGTCTGTCACCCCAATCAGCTTATGCATACATTAGTGGTTACAATTGCTGGGTCAGCTCTGTTTCCAGCCCTGTATTCCACATGAACCAATGGGTGTTGTAGTCCAGCCTGATTCTGCCCACCACACATTCACCCTCATACAAACCAGTGGGAGCTGCAACTTAGTCGGAGCAACGTGCAATAACCCCCACGAGGCCTGCCCCCTGCCCTGGCTCCTGTGCCTGCCAGTATGTACAGCAGACTTGTCCAGTCTGTCCTACATCCCATTCAGCTCTCATGTATCTTAATGGGCATTGAAGCCTGGTTCAACCCAACCAGCCCTACCTTCCAGCCCACACACGTTGGTGGGTGCCATTGTGTCCAACCACCACTGCCCCAGTCCTGGTTTTCATGCTCTCCAGTAGGAGAGATAACCCAACAAAGAGGTGCCCAGTTTCCTTACTGGACCACTCCCAATCAAAGATCATGCACTCTCCAGGTGGTTGTGCAGTTTAACTTGAAAGAATTAGCTCCAGTACCAGCATCTGCCAGCTGATGCTGCGGCAAAGCACAACCAGCCCACACCCCCTGTGGCATATACATGCGCCAGTAGGTACAGTACACCTAGCCTGGCTTGCTTCTAATCCAGCTCGCATGAGGTCCACAGGTGTTGTAGCCCTGCTTGGTCTGGTCTGCCCTCATCCCAACTCACACTTTCCAGTGGGAGTGGTGGTCAGGCAGCAGAGCCCTCCACATTTCCCCTACCAGCTTTACCCCCTCCCCCCTGGTTCTCACGTGTGCTGGTTGGGTGTTGCAGCCCAGTCTCGCATGGCCAACCTTACCTCAGCACTTGCCAGTGGGTGCTATAGCCTGGCCCGGCCCACCCCCAATTCCAGCTGATGCTGCTGAGGGTTACAGCCTAGCCCAGCCCAGGAGATAATGTGAACAGGTTCAGCCTGGTCCGCCCTGACCTATGCCAAATGTGAGAGTGGGTACTTTCCCTTGCTTGGTATCAGCTGCTCCCTATTGTGGTTCTTACACTCACCTGCAGGGACTGTGTGTGTCCTGACAGAGGAGTTTCTCAAGCTCCTTCATCAGAACCTCTCCCAATGCCAGATCTCGTGCATACCGGTGGGTCCATGGACCATCCCTATTTAGTCCCCCTCCTGTCTTGGTAGGAACAGTGACCTTTCCTGATTGGCCTTCAACTCATTCCAGCTCTTTAAAAAGATCTTCCGTCTGATGGTTCACTCCCCAAGTGACCGCAACAGCTGGTACTGCACCAATCAGAAACCGGGAACCAGGAGCTCTTCTGAGTCTCCCACGTGGGTGCAGGGTCCCAAGGCTTTGCGTCATCCTCGACTGCTTTCCCAGGCCACAAGTAGGGAGCTGGATGGGAAGCGGGGCAGCTGGAATTAAAACCGGCAACCATATGATATTCCAGCACATTCAAGGCAAAGACTTTAGTCGCTAAGCCACCACGCCAGGACCATTCCAGTTCTTATTGTTGGATGTTTCAGCCTTGCCAAGCCTCCTCCATACCGACACAGCTCACATATGGTTCAGCAGGGGCAGAGACCTAGCCTAGTCCATCCTACACCTACCTTGGTCCTACAGAGCACCAGTTTTTTTTTTTTTTTTACAGAAACCAAATACATTTATTAAGCCTACTCTCAGCCACACAGACACAGGAGTATCTACAAATATACAACCTTTACAACCAGTAAAACTTCTTAGCCAGGAACACACTACCTTGTGTTTTCAGTGAGCATGGCCTCCATTTTAAGGTGTGGATGGTCCTCCAGTTGACTGTCCTCCACTCTGAGGAGGTCTTGGACACAGTGAAGCCTGCTGGGTGGTCAGCTCATGCCATGGCCTCAGCACCTTCCTCACCTCCGCTGTCTGGAAGCTCTTCCTCCCCAGATGATTCCTCTACTAGTAAACAGCTTTTGTTGACAGACTTCTGGTTAGCCTCCCGCTCTCCTTCATCAGTGCAGTCCTGTAACAAGATCAGCAGCTGCCTCCTGTTGTACTGAGTCAACAACTTCCGACATGTCCTAATGGTACTTGCCACGTCTAGCATGGCTCAGTGCACCCAACCCCAGTTCACACTTGTGCCAAGGGACACTGCAACCATATCCAGACCAGAATGCACCCCCCGCACTCACCAGTGGGAACCCCCACCCAGCCAGAATGTTCTCTTAGTTTCCCGACCAGATCTGTTCCCAGCCATAGATCACTCACATACCAAGGTTTCTCTGACCCAGCTTGGCAGAGCCCCTCACCTGTCTCAGCCTTTGCCTTAGATGCTGAGTCCTAGCATCCCTGGCTCACGCAGACCAGTAGGTGTAAGAGCCTAGCTCGGCATGACCTGTGCTCCAGCCTGATTTCTGCTCTTGCTGGTGAGCTAAGGTTTGGTCGGCTCTGCCCGGTTCATTCCCTTCCATAACCAACCAACACAATAGCTCCAGCTGTTGGAGCTATTTTGTCCAGTTTGTCCAACCCCCAAGCCTGGTTCATGTGATCATAAGTGAGTTAAGACCCACTAGGGGAGTTTCCCAAGTTCCCCCACTTTACCCACTACCAGACCCAGAATTCATACATGCCAGTGGGTGTTAGGCCAGCGCCTGGCATAGTCTGCCCTTCTATCTTGGCCTTGTATGAGCTGGTGAACGTTGCGGCCCAGCCCACACCCTTTTTTAGGATGCACATTTGTAACCTTAGCATCTTCTAACACTTAGTATGTCTACAGTTGGTTGACCTCATTTGCACCCTTAGCAGCTTATCAAACCTGGGGGGAAATTCCATCACATAAAACCCAACAAATGCACTGAGTGATGAAATAGCTTGTTCATATTTCTTGTTACAATGGCCATCGGCCTTGCACAGTGGCTCAACAGGCTAATTCTCCATCCACGAGCACCAGCATCCTAAATGGGCACCAGTTCATGTACCAGCTGCTCCACTCCCCACCCAGCTACCTGCCTGTAGCCTGGGAAAGTGGCTGAGGATGGCCCAAAGCCGTGGAACCCTGCACCCACATGAGAGACCCAAAAGCAGCTCCTGGCATGTACCAGCTCAGCTCTGGCTGTTGTGGCCATTTGAGGAGTGGACCATTGGATGGAGGATCTTTCCAGCTCTCACCGTCTCCATAAATCTGTCTTTCCAATGAAAATGAAGTCTTCACACACACACACACACACACACACACAGGCCCAGTGAATCAAGGGCAATGAAAGTGAAGGCTTTAAAATGCAGGTGGGGGAAGGGTAGTGGAATAATCCAAAGCCTCCATTCTGAAGGCCCCGGGGCCTGAACACTTTCTCCTGGGTCTGTGTCAGTGAACATAGGAAGGCTCCATAAAGTTGGGAAAAGGTTAAGTCGAATTTCTAGGCACTTTCTGAAGTCCCTGGCATTACACGGGTGTGCGGGGTGGACTAAAGGGCCTGGCTCTGATCTAGGGTTCTGTGCCCTCCACTCAGCTTCTCCTGCCTGCACACTCACAAAACTTGGGTCCCCAGCATCCCCTGGAACACAAACACATCAGAGAGACAACAATTTCTAAACTTTATGGGAAAAGTCACAGAACAAGAAACTTCTGAGTCCCATCTCACTCCTCTCCACCTGCAGGTCTCAGGGAGTCCCGTGGCTCGTTCCGAGGGAGCCCCGCAAGGCAGGTCAGGCGGTCTCAGAAGGTCCCGGTGACAGGTCAGGCAGGTCTTACGGGGTCCAGTGGCAGGTCAGGCGGGTCTCAGGGGGTCCAGTGGCAGGTCAGGCGGTCTCACGGGGTCCAGTGGCAGGTCAGGCGGTCTCACGGGGTCCAGTGGCAGGTGAGGCGGGTCTCAGGGGGTCCCGGTGACAGGTGAGGCGGGTCTCAGGGGGTCCCGGTGGCACACCCCGAGGCCAGGTCAGGCGGGTCGGCGAGCCGGAGTCACGAGGCCCGGTTCACCGGGGGTTCAAGCGCATCCCCGGGACGGCGGGAGGAGGCGTCCCTGGCCCAGGTGGGAAGGCGCCGGCTCAGTTCTCGTCGGGCTTGTCGGCCGGCGGCCCGCAGGGCTGCAGCATCTTCTCCATGAGGTTGAAGCGGACTCGCGCTTTGCTCTCATTCTCCGCGATGGCGAAGTAGTTGAGCAGGTCGAAGTGGCCCATGTAGGAGCAGTACGAGTCGCGGTGCTGGTTGACTAGCCACTCCCACTTGGTGGTGTCGGCGTGGCCCGTGCCGATGTACTTGGACTGCAGGTGTTCCAGCTGGCTGTGAATGGTGTAGCGGTCGGTCATCTTGGCGCCTTCCCTTCCGCTCCCAAGTCAGAAGCCGCTGACGAAGAGTAAGCGATCTAGGATTTCCCGCCGGAGAATGGCCGCCACTCGGGAACTCTGGACTCGCTCCGGCGCAGACAAATGGCGTAATGGCGACGCGGCTGCCGGGATCCTCAGTCATTGGGCTCCAAGGCGGAAGCGGAAGCTCATTTTTAAACGGGATTGGGGTTGTCTAGGAAACGCGGAGACCGTCCCGCCCCCCGGGAGGGACGCACGGCATTCGACGTGATGGGTGGTGTCTTTCCTTCACCCACTAGGTCTACTGCATGCCGGGATTTGTAGTCTCTTCTGGGACCGCGGGCCTAGGCTTTCTTGGGCTTTAGGCTTCCCGGAAGGATCCATCTGGAAGTGGGCAGAGCCGGCCCTTGAAGTCAGCTGCGTTCATTTTTGCTTTGATTTGGCTGTAGCACGGCCGCCTTCTTCTGCTGGGTGACCTTCGGACGATCCGCGGAGTCGTTCTGGCGCCCCGGGGCTTGCGTGGACGGTGCCCACGGCCCTGGCAAATGGTATCTAAAATAATTTCTCACCAAAGGAAATGTGAGTTTAATTTCCATTTAAAGTTCATGTTTCTCTGAAAACCTTATAAAATTTGAATATAACTCCTGAAAGTATCAGACTTTCAAAAGCACTGGTTGGAAAGTCATGAATGCATGAAGATGCTCACAATGTTTGTGTATTAAAAAGAGATGTGTACAATTCAGTCTTCACCGGGCCCAGCGTGGTAGCCTAACAGCTAAAGTCCTCACCTTGCACGCACTGGGATCCCATGTAGGCACCGGTTCTAATCCCAGCAGCTCCGCTTTCCATGCAGTTCCCTGCTTGTGGCCCGGGAAAGCAGTTGAGGACGGCCCAAAGCATTGGGATCCTGCACCTGCTCCTGGCTCCTGGCTTCGGATCAACTTACCTCTGCCTGTTACAGCCACTGGGGGAGTGAATAATCGGATGGAAAATCTTCCTCTCTGTCTCCTCTCTGTATATATGACTTACCCCCCCCCCAAAATTTTTTTTTTAATTCAGTCATCACAATACTGGAAAAATTCCTAGTAGCAGAAATAGAGAGAACATTACTTAAAAAACAAAACATTACTTAAAAAACATTAAATGGAAATTAAGCTCACATTTCCTTTGGTGAGAAATTATTTTAGATACCATTTTTGTCTACAAACAAGATCTATTGTCTCTTTTAAAAGATTCGTGGCAATGTGTATTATGAGAAAACTATATATACATATTAAGATTTTTTTTTTTTTTTTTTTGGCACCAAAATCAAACTTTAGTTTCATTTTTCCCTAACTTTTGAAGGATCTTTTTACAACAGGACGTTTTAGGCACATTGTGTTGAAACATTAGTGGACACTAGAGGTCGCTAAAGTATTTTCATGGTACAAGACTGGTTGTGTGTTTAAAGGTGTATTTATTTATTTGAAAGACAGAGTCACAGAGAAAAGGGCAGAGAGAGAGAAAGAGCTGTGGAGTTTCCGTCTGTTGTTCACTTCTCAAATGGCCAGAACACGAAGTACAGGATCCAAGCACTCGGACCATCCTCTGCCGTTTCCCGGGCACGTTAACAGGGAGCTGGGTCGAAGTCTTGGAGATGCGTACTTTACCTGTCACACCACAGCGCCAGGCCCCAGCTGGCTGTATTTTAAAAGGCAGCCAGGTCTTTGCCCATGTAGAAGAAAAGCAAGCAAAAAGAAGTGGTGACATGGAATTTATATGAAATGGAGTTTAGAAAGTTCTTCCAAGAACCTTTTTGTAACTGTGGGCTTGTGTTTCTCCGGTTAAGATGTCTTTAGCTTTTCCTTTCTCAGCCAAGCAGATGAACAAGTCTCACATTTTGGAGTGTTTTGCCCTTTGCACATAAATTGCCCGTAACGTTTATGTAACTTTTTGCTGCCGGGGTCTCTTTCAAAGCTTGTTTGAGATTTAGTGGGCTAGTCCCTTTCTGTCTTTAATGATGGCATTACATCACAAGCTAGTACACATTTTAAGCAATTGCTGATATGACAGAACTTTCATAAAGGGGATCAGAAGCGTTGCATGCGTGTTCCATTTGTCACAGCTTTATGAAAGTTACCTTGCTGTAGCATCGTGAGGGGAGCGAGTGTCTTCATCAGGCAGGTTCCCGTATTGAAATTCTGCCGTCTGAATGGCTTCGGAACAAGGGAGGTTGATTTCTCACAGTCCTGGAGTGTAGGAATTCCCAGTGACAGCAGATATGGTGTCTGGTGAGGGCCCACTTCCTGGCTCACACATGGGAGGGCAGCTCTCCGAGACCATTCTTACAGCACCCTAACCCCACAGGTAAGGGTGGAGCCCTCCTGACCCAACCCCCTCCTAAGACCCCGCCTCCCCACACCATCACCTTCCTGACTGAGATTCTACAGATGGACTTGAGGGAGGTGGGACAATGCATAATAACTAAGCATCTTTTTCCTCGGAGGCAAATAAACATTACCTGTAAATTGAGGCAGAAGTTTCTGGAATAAAAAAGGAGACCTGATCTAAAGCCCTCTGTACCTCCAGTCAAGGGCATAAGCAGGTGTCATGATGGAATGTAGGCACGAAACAGCAGCCCAGAGCAGGATATTCCGAGGCCACTCTACGTAGTAATGCTGCATGTGTGCTGAGGCTAAGAGCAAGCCCTCTGCGCCAAGAACTCTGGAACTGCATTCCAGGCAGCTCAAGAACAAAAGCCCTGGCATGCAGATAAGCCCAGTGGATTCTAGAAACTGCTTGGCAATAGGAGCAGAGTGACAGAGACAGCACTAGCTGAAGGTGGGAGAGGGCAGCAGTGGCCAGACAGTGCCGGACCTTGTGTGGCCTTAGACCTGCTGGGCGCAGAGGAAGAGTTGGAAGGCACATCCCACAAGGCGCTTGGAGAGTGAAGAGCGCTCTCCAGACCCAACCCAAGTCAAACCTTGGATCCAGATACGTGCAGGCAGGCTCTGCTCCTTGCCCTTGCTGTGGGCGCACTGGCCATGCATTTTTGCACCTCCGTGTATTTTATTACCTTCTCTTCTCTGCCTGCAGTGTTTTTTTTTCCCCACTGTAAGTAGCCTTATGAGGATGGGTCTTGCTTCAAAAAATTTTACTTTTTTAGTTTATTAAAGAGGGAGGGAGGAAGAGGAAAGAGAGAAGAGAGAAAATACTTCTAACAGCTGCGGCTGTACCAGTCGGAAGCCCAGAGCTGGAAACTGAATGTACTCTTCCACGTAAGTGGCAGAGACCAGATGACTGGAGACATCCCTTGCTGTGTCTCAGGCTGGGCACTGGGAGCCTGGAACTGGCAGTAAGGTCAGGATCTGAATCCAGACACTCTGCTATGAGATGTGGGTACGCCATTGGGCATTTGGCAAGTGGCTCAAATGTCGGCCTCACAATGTCATTCATTCCCCCCCAGTGAGGTCTTTCCTGATAAGTTTTTCCAATATTGTAAATCTGTTGCTTCCACACTGATATTTTCGACTATATAGCCTTTGTTTTCCTTTTGGTGCTTAGTAATAATGTGGCTCTCAGACTTAGTGCACACATGCGCGTACTCACCATGCGTTTGTTTCTTATTGTCTGTCTCAGTTGCAATAAAAGATCAACAAGATGAGGACTTTTGTGTTTGGTTCACAGCTTTGCCTTAACTCTACTTAACTCTACTTCAGGACTGGCTTAAGTGCTAAATTAATGCTTGGTTTTCGAGTGAAAGAATCAGTGATGTTCTTTGAGTGTTAACAAAGGATCGGAGACAACTTGAGTGCGAACAATAAAGGAATCAGTACACAAGCTGTTATGTCCTCACAGCGTGCACTTTTTAGGAATCTTATACATGAATATCTTATTTTATCCATTTGTTGAAAACCCAGACATATCGCAAAATACACCCTTGTATCTGCACAGAGGAAGGGTAGCACATCTCCGGAGAGTTAGACGAGGTGATGGAGGGCATTTGTTTGAATCTTTTAAAATTCTTTTTTAAAAGCATGTACTGCTTTTGAAACAAAAGCAAAGTCAACCAAATGAAAATATTAGTTATAACAAAAAAGTGATTGCACCCCATACCTACCAGAGTGAATTACAATGTAAAATGTTAAAAATGGCACATATTGGCAAGATGAAGGGGTAAGTAAGAAGCTGAACTGGTTCAAAGCCAGGAGCCTGAAGTTTCCTCCAGGGCCCCACATGGTTTTCAGGAGTCCAAGGACATAGGTCGTCTTCCACTGCTTTCCTAGGCACACCAGCAGGAAACTGGATTGGGAGTGGAGCAGCTGGGAATTAAACTGGTGCCCAAATGGGACTCCAATGTCACAGGCAGAGGCTTAACATGCGACACCATGATTCTGGTCCCTGTTCTGTTTCGTGACTATTCTTTGGTTATTCTCTGGTGTGATCACTGTGAAAATTCACTAAGGAGCCAGCTCTGTGATACAGCAGGTAAGGCCACCACCTAGAGTGCTGGCATTCTATATGGGCATTGGCCTAATTCCTAGCTGCTCCACTTCCACTCTGTATCCTTGGAGGAATCCTTAAGACAGACTGCAGGGCAGTGGTCATAAAACAGTCTGGTATTGGTACAGAAACAGAGAAGAAGATCAATGGAACAGAATAGAAACACCAGAAGGGAGTCCTCACATGTATAGCCAACTAATCTTTGACAAGAAAACTGAAAACAATTCAGGGGAAAAGTCTGGTCTATTCAACAAATGTTGTTGGAACAACTGGATAGCAGCCTGCAGAATTAAGAAGCAAGACCCACACCTGTCACACTAATACAAAAATCAGCTCTAAATTGTCCAAGGACCTAAATGTACACCCAGAAACCATCAAACTATTGAAGGAAAACATAGGAAGCACTCTTCAAGATATAGGAACGGGGAAAGGTTTCTTAGAAAAGACGCCAAAAGCACAGGCAGTCAAAGCCAAAATGAACAAATGGGACTGTATCAAACTAAAAAGCTTCTGAACAGCAAAGGAAACAATTAACAAAGTGAAGAAGCAACCAACAGAATGGGAGAAAATCTTTGCATACTAAAGAGCTTCAGAAACCCAGGGACAAACAAAACAAAAAAAAAAACCCT